TAGTATAATACATATGCAGTTATATACTATTGTATACTAATTAATACCTCAGTACAGTATACATATTAATATAATAATTGTATAGCATAGTAATTATTATCTTCTTTATCATTTTTTCTTTAATATAACAATTTACAAGCGTATCGTGTCACTCAAATCAACTATAAGTTTATAGTTAAGTAATTAGTTAGCGTATATGCAGTTATATACAATACTATTATATACTATTACATACTAATCAATACGTTAGTACAGTTACATATTAATATAATAATAGTACAGTATAGTAATTTCATTACGAAGATACGTTACTATTTTCTAGGAGAGTAATCAACGAGAAAACTGAAGATCTTGCTCTAAACCTTTTATCTTCTCATACTTCTTATTCCTTTTCTCTCCGTTCTTCACTCACGAGCGAACAACGTGTAATAAAACGCGATATAAATGGTGGGTGGTAAACGATTTGAAAAACGAAGAAAGTCCGCGAGAGGAGTAGACCAGCCTGCCCTATTACTGCTTTTCTCGTCCTCCTTGGATTTACCGAGGATCCTCCTTGAATCTCACTCGCGACGATGAAAGAGAATGTTAACGTATGGTAGCTCCTCCAGTCATCCAGCAAGCGATTGTGTTCGATCTCACGAGAGGAATACTCGTGCTCAGCCTCAAGGTCAAGTTCGAAGAGCTTCTGAGAAGACTTGATTAATGTGGCTGCCACCGGCGATTTCACACGAATCCTCTCATTGCATGCAATCCTTGCAGATTCAGGATTTGTGATCATTACGATGTGTAAAATAGACAGGGTAACTCGCTGATAATCACGTATCTAACTTTGGAGACCTACTTACTGTGTATAGCTGAGAGAAGAAGTCACCTGGAAGGAATGTGGGTCTGACTGGTCACCGCGTAACAGGTCCATCTTTCCACATACTATCGTAAATATTGGATACACAAATTTTCTTTACGAATAGAAAGTGTCACGTCCACGAATCGAATCATAGAGAATCGCATGATGAAGACAGAGAACGAGATACAATGCCTGCTTTAGGTGCCTCCATAATTGGCACAGACGCGTGAGTCCGGACGCTTATGTGGGGAGATGGCTACTTCGAATTCAATTGAAGGAAGAAAGAATGAACGTGAGTGAAACAATCGACAAAGATCGGTGTCTGGCTTCGTCTGACATGTTCGAAGATTCATGGTCCAATTTCCAAGAACTGGTGGAGATAGGAACGGACGCCAAAGCGGGCGAACTGCGAACGCTAAAGCGGGTACTACTGCACATACTGTGGCCGGGTGAAATATAGATATGGAGAGCGATACAAAGTTAATCGATAAGGTGTTCCCATCTAGAATTTAAGAAAAATCGATTTTCTTTTATATTTTCTTTTCTGAAATTAAATGCTCTCACAAATATTTTTACCAACGAATATTGTTAATTTCGGAAAATTCACGATGTTATTACCTTCGTAACTTTCAAATATCGTATTTTGAATTTTTCTTGCTATTCTTTATAATTTTTCGCGATTTGCAAAGTATGCAAAAGTGATGTTATTGTTATATATACAAGTGGTCTTGGTTTTAAAATTGCAAACGTAAAGTGCAGTTTGTAAATTCATGCATGTGATCCTGAGCTAGCAGATTTAGTGTAAATAAAAATATTTGTGGAAAATACCTTAAACGATTTTCTCGAAACCATATTTCCTCAAATGGTTGTTATGGATTTTCAGTTTTATGTGTCCTTATCGTCCGAACTAGGATTTCCAAAATTCCATGTTGTTTATTATTTTTGTTAACTCGTTAAGTATGAAAAAGGCCACAAAAATTCGATTATTTAACTTTGAAATGCTGTCAAATTCTGATGTTTAATCATTTTTCAACGATTCTTGTTTCGACTATAGCTATATTCGTATCGAATAAAATGTTTTTTGATTTTTTGTTTCTGATGAACAGAATGACCAGAATCGTGATTTCTATAGCGACGAATTTCTTTTAGACCCTTTACTAGATTGATCTAAACTCCTGTAATTTTTGGTACTTTTGCATGAAAAAAATTGAGGATATGTGTGAAAAATAGAGCTAAAAATATGTATTTGAACTGAGTAGATATTTACCTTTTCTTACCAAAAATTTTCTATCAGAAGCTACAGTTTAGACAAAAATATTCGCTTAGTGTAAAATAAAGTTATATAAAACAGTAGTTGAGAAACTTATAGTATATTATTGAGAAAGTTGCTCTAGAATATTAGTATATTTATTGATAATATATTATCTATACAAAATATTAAATATGGTCTTAACGTTTATTTAGTGAAATATATTAAAATAGACTTATGGAAGTTAAGACTAAAACTAAGAAATACTAAAAGAAGAATAATTTAAAAAATACTGATATCTATCTATTTGAACGCATTATACATATATACAAGGTGAACCTAATAATGGAGATGGGTTGTAATTCTATTCCAACAGAAATTAGAAAAAAATCGTGGAGAAAAATTTATCACTATTTAACATGCTCTATTTTCTGCCTACACAATTTTTTTAAAGGTACCTACACTTTTTTTCTTTAACTGGAACTCTACAATTTATTTTGCATACATTGATACTAGGAATCGTAAATAACTTCTAAAATCCGCATGTAAAAAATATAAGGAAAGTTAAAAACTCTCTGTTCTTTGAAAATGCACTGTTATCTAAAATATTCATTTAAATAAAATAACAAAGTTAAACAAGATAAGTTAAATAATAAAAACATTTCTTTCGTGATTTTTTCTTATCTTCACCTGGATTCAAATTATAGCTCGTCCTAATTATTACAACCACCTTCAACAGTTATATAATGAACCTAACCTATAAATATCTTGAGAAGAGGCTAGTTAATAATATTTAAACATTAATATGATTCGAAATTTTTATTTACTTTTTGATGTTTAAGAAATTATAGAAACCTAAGGAAATAACTGAACATTATTTTTCGAGTTTCTCCGATTGATTTTTTATTTTAGTGGTGAAATAAAGCACCTTTTTAAAAACTTCTGATCGAAAGTGCTAAAATTGGGAAAAGTCACTAAACCGCAAGTTTATTGTTTATTACAAAAGTTTGGTTAAGAACACAGAGCTGATTGAAATTATGATGTCGTACATAATTCAAACATTTTTCTTATATTTTATAAATTTGGAAATTATTTACTCCAATGGCGTTGCCCTAAATATATTAATTTCTTTTCTCTTCTTGCCAAAATGGCTTTATTTTAACGTTAATAAGGAATACAGATCAGGGGAGAGTTTAGGAAAACAACAACAAAATAACTGAAAACAGATAAACTCCCAAAGTAAATCTAACCCAAACCTAACCTAAACCAATGTACCTTAACATATTACTCCTGTCAAATACCTGTCACGCCGGAAAAGATGCAAGGAAGAATTTCACGCACATTCTTTAATTCAAGGTCATTTGAAAGTCATAGTGTCGCAGGTCGTTAAATTTATCTTGACATGTACCATAATATTGTATTATGAAAGAGGGGCATTAATATGCTAAAAAACATCTATTAAAAACTTGGAAAATATAACCTTGGGGAAAAAAGTCACGTGTCGCAATATTCTTCGCTTTGGATTAAACAATTTATCATGACACAATTCTTTTCTGTCGATAAATGTAACAAAGACCTTAAGAAATATACGATAAACTAACCTCTATATTTCAAGAAATGGTATTACATCTTGACCGAATGCCAAAATGAAGTTTAAACAAAAAAGAAACGAAAACAAGTGAGTAAGCATATTATGATCAGATCATGTAATATTAGAGGACGACGTGTATTTTCAAGATTCATGGCATCAGCCACTTTTTTCGGTCCAATATGAGTAATGACAAGAGGTGCCCAAACTTTACAGGGTCCATCCATAATCGACCAAGGAAATAATCTCGAATACAAATTGTGATAATGAATTATTTATTAATGGAATTTAAAATTTGTAATAAACAATAAAATTGTATTTAAAATTTGTACAATTTTCATTATATCTTCATGAAAATAGGATTAATAGATTATTGATTTTAATCGAGTAAACATAACCTAACTTAATTTAATTTAATATAATTGAAATTTATATACAGAGTATGTGAAAATTAATTTTCACGACCGTTACATTACAGTATGATTCTACACTTTGGGATTAATGAAGACCTATTAAACAAAATAGTCGCGAAATTGTCCTTAACCATGATTTTCAAGGTCAAATTTTTTTTTATTGGACCGTATTTTACTCGCCATGAGAGGAAAGTGTCTGAAAGGAACAGTTCCTGCAAAAAATGAACCGCAAATATTTTGACTGATTGCATGGGGACCGGTTAATCAATATTTATCTGGTATCCAGTGATACACATGCATCGAATAAGAATAACGAATCAAATTTAAACGAAACCTCAAATTTGATATGCACTCGATACATGTATCGAATAAATCGCTTGGTTCTGAAAAATCTTAGCTAACCAGTCACTCGATTTTTTGACAGATCTCCACGAATGTGAAGATATAGAAACACACTGTAATGACCGTGACAATTAATTTTTATACATTCTGTACAGTGAAATACATTTAGAATTAGGTTATGTTTGAAACAGTTTCGCAAATATTTAACATGACAAATAATACAATGGATTTATAAACACAAATTCATCGCTAATACAACAGGATACGTTTTTCTCTATACACAAGAACTGATAACAAAGAAAAAGATAATATCTGTCTCCGGTTAATTCATCACTTGTAAATCACTTATCGCTTAACACCGTTTAACACTTTCCACTGAGAAAATGAATCATTTCAGATAAAACGGTATACCATTGAAACTAATTACTTTATTCAAATACTTGGCCTAAAATCTTATTAAAAATATATATTTTTCACAAATTTTATGCTTCCGTAATTTTGCTCTATATAACTTTCAGCAATATTGTACATATAATTATTTAATATTGTCTCTTCTAATTACAGATAAATTTAATCGAGTGTCTTTCGCAACGTCCTCCATCGCAACATGACGGTAAAAAATGTAAAAACGAAATTGATCCCGCCAGATGGTGGATGGGGATGGGTCGTCCTTTCTTCGGCTCTCGTTGTCAACTTCCTCATTCCCGGGACCGTGAAGTCATTCGGCGTCCTCTTCGTTGAATTTCTTCACGTTTTCAAAGCATCGTCCACCGCCGCTTCCTGGATGCCAGCTTTATGCTACTTTTTATACAATTCTTTAGGTAAACGACTTTTACATTTACATATCCTTCTCGTGATTACGAAACTGTTACCATAAAATTATAAACTTTTGCACCATGGATGAAATTAAATTATTGGATAAGAAGGTGGGAATATGAAAAGAAGGATATTAAAAAAGGGCTATTTTTGGTATCACCTAGAAATGAAAAGTTCTTTCGAGACTTTTAAAAGCATCTTCCAAGGAACAAAAAATTCCTTTATCACTTTGCCGAGAAATGGTGGGAAAATTGTCGAAAATGAGTCAAAATATATGAAAATGAGACTGATCAAATACAGGGTGTCCCAGCAACGGCAGTACAACCGGGAAGAAGGTGATCCTACATGAAAAAACGAATCGAAAAGAAAGAATCAAATTTTTTTATTCGAAGCTTCGTTTTCGAGAAAATCGACTTTGAATATTCACCGAGTAGGCGTGCACTTAGTTATGGCTTATATGAATAAACCATCAATACATATGTACTGGTGGTACAATCGAGTAGGAAGTGATTCTGTATTTAATCAGTCTCATTTTCACATATTTTCATTCATTTTTGACAACTTTCCCATTGTTTCTCGGCAAAGTGATAAAGGAATTTGTTGTTCCTTGGAGGATGTTCTTAAAGATTTCGAAGGAATTTTTCATTTCCAGGCGCTGCCAAAAATGACCTTCTTTAAACATTCTCCTTTTTATTCTCGGGGAAAGTATATATTAAACATATAGACATTGCAACGGTAAAAGATGGAAAAGATAGTTGACAGATTCAAAATAACGTATCGATAAATTTCTAGGGAGAAAATTTAACTGTTTTTAGGATGTATTATTTTTACGAAATTTTATCGAATATTTAGTTAAAGAAAATGAGATGGTAATATGGACAAAAGTTAAAAATCTTGTATTTTTCTTCATATTTATAATAATTACTTATAAATTTGAACCAAAAAGTATTAAAAAGTTTTAAAATGAGGACAAAAAGCAAAAAAATAAACAACGAAAAATAAATAATTGTGTATGAATTTATAAGAAACTTGAGTTATTCAATGAAATTGAATATAAATTTAATATCTAATAAAAGTTTCTAAGGATTTTTTACAATAATCATGAATGAAAATATGTATCTCTGTCACATTCAGTGCATAAGAAACACAAAGGAAGTGTGGTTCTAATTTGTAATATGGATCAGCTCAGTCCATATTATCAGTTTCCGCCATTTTTTAAACTAACCTAAAAATCTTAACGTAAAAGTAATTCTGCAATTTTCAAAAAATTCTAGTTTCTTTAATTAGGTTGAAATATAATTCTTACGAATTGCTCCAATTATATGATTGACATTTTTGGAAAAAATTGTATATTTTCAACAAAATTATGGACTTTAACCGAATGCTAGTAAGAAGTATTAATATTCAGAACTTTAAACGGCAATATCTCTGAAATGAATATTTATGCCCTCCTTAAACTTTGAATTTGGATCATGTTATGCTGGATTGTCTTAGATTAAGTTAGATTCTGCGTAGAAGCATTGAAATTTTAATCAAATCATCAATTGAATGCTAAACAAATATCACCGTCTCTAATAATTTTGTTATCTGGGTTATATTAAAAATAGATATTACAATTACGTTTAAGTTTAGATTAAGTTTAAATTTTCGTAAAATTAACTTATTAACTATGCTAAAGATGCTGAATTTTACATACGTATAACTTTTGTATAGACGAATTTCTAAAATTAAAAATAATTTCTTAATTAAAATAATTTCTTATTCTACTCGACAAATATTATTTGATTATACATAATATAC